CATTACAATAATACATTATGTGAAATACATACATATGTAAAAAAATACATATTTTGATTCAAATGTTTTTTTTTTGTTTCTTTTGGTCACTTCCTTTAGTACGACTTCCGGTTAGTACGACCTAATATCACCGGTCCCTTCGCCGTCGTTATAACCGGATTCTACTGTACTTAGTTGTATCAATATTTCTAATGCATTATTTCCGTACCTGTCCGAACTGCGGTGTTGCTCCGAGATTACCGAATCCAGCGAACCCAGTTTGTGGCTTAGCTCCAAACCCTGGACCAATTGTGTTAGCAGCACCACCAAATGGTGCACCAAAGGTATTAGAGCCAAGGGTACTGGTGCCAAAAGTTGGTGCAGTGCTTCCAAATGTAGATTGACCAAATGCTGGAGTGGTACCAAACGTGCTTGCACCAAATGAAGTATTCCCAAAACCTACGGAAAGATAAATAATATAAACATAAGTACAATACCGAAACCACATTTGGGCCAACTTCTTTCATAAATTTTCAATTGTATTTTCAGGAGTAATTAAGTAGAAAACTTATAATGATATTCACAATAGGGTTTGGACTATAAAAAATCATCAACAAGTAGCCATGTATGCATTTAGGAAATACCGGACTCATAATGTTTATTTTAAGAGATGGTATTGAGTTTTTATCAAATCCAATTGATTGTCAACAGTGTTACGAAAACAAACTACGGAGTTCTAGATTAAGTTCAAGCATTCATACAAAAATAATTTTGTTAATATTTTAGTACCTGTCGCTGGTTTAGCAGCAGTGGTGCCAAAGCCCGTTCCTCCGAACAAGGATGGTGCAGTAGATGCAGGTGTAGTGCCTAATCCTCCAAATGGTGTAGCTGTGGAATATAACCACAAATTGAAGTAAAGACATTGAGAATGTTATTTTGTAATGAACATCAGTGAGTGCAATATTATAAAAGAAGGAACATAGTTTTTCTATTATTTCAATATTATTATAAGTAATTAACTAGCTTCTGCCAGTGACTTCACCCACATTTGTGGGATTGAAAGTGGCCTATATGGTAATCCGGACCATTCTCCACACCAAATTTCATCTCGATCCCTTCAGGCATTTTGATGTGAAGGTGTAACAAACAATTTCATTTAGAATATAATATCAGTAGCATTAACAATAGATTAAGAGATGATTAATATATAGTGACACCCACACACACACACACACATCGTGACAAATGTTATTTTTGTTCCCATAATGAGTATGTATGTAAAAATAACTAATACAATGCTCATACTCAATTGATGATTGATATTATTATTATATCTTGTTTCTTTGTTTTATATTTTTTTTATTTTAGTTTCATTTATTATTGTACTGTATATATTTTGTTATGCTTTAATGATTTTTGTTCATTTGTTTTCTCTTTTAGGTCTATTATTAATGTTTTGTTTTTAGATATGTATCTGTATTTTTATTTCTATTTTAATGATCCTTATATTCGTGTGCACAATGGCCAAATAAATGCGTTTACTTTTCTTTCTTTTTTTTTGTTTTGATAATAACATAACTGGCAAAAATAGTAAAGAGATGTTATTCAAGCATCACATGAATTTTCTCTTATAGGATTTTTAAACATAAGGTTTAACAGTAGATAACCAACTCACACTCTGTGATAATATCAGCAGAATACAAAAAACTAATGGCTGTATTCCCCAACCATCTCTAAATGTTACTTAGTGTGAAGCAGCACCTAACCTAATTCCATACTTGTAATGCTAGGTGTCACTTTTATGTTGGTAAAAACCATAATGATGTAAATGTCACCAAAAAGATGTTACATGCATCTTATCTTAGGTGTTCCAGTTTAGGAGAGTAAATCCTTAGTTACCTGTACTAGTTGCTGGTGCACCGAACCCACCAAAACCTGTTGCAGTGGATGTATTTCCAAAACCACCAAATCCCGAACTAGTTGTTGTTGTGGTACCACCTCCAAATGAAAATGTGGCTGGAATTAGACAACATATAGATATAAATTAAATTTAATCACAATTTAGGAATGGTTAGTTAATGTTGATAATAATATGTGTAAATGAGCTAAAGGTAAATTTTCACCAAAAATAAAATTGAAACTGAACAGTAGCGAACTAGAAACTTCAGGTTTAATGATAGTGAGACACTGGTTACTTCAATAATGAAGTCTACGCATTTTTACATTTATCTAAAGTTGTGTTTAAAGCATGATATCTTTAAAATATCGGAAAATTTACTTACGTTTTGCTGCAGCTCCGAAGGTTGAAGTTTGAGTACTAGGTGTTCCGAACGAAAAAGCCATTGTAGCTATTTATTTTTGTATGTTTTTAGTGATTAACAATCTACTTACAAAACGAACTTATCGCATATCGTAAACTTTGAATGAATTGTTCTGTTTCTTTTATTAACACAAAATAAGTTACTTTTGACAATAGAAATGTAAACAATTAATTAGCTATTAGGAAAAATTAATTAATTGAAAGAGGTTATTTTCACAACAGTAAACAACGGGAAGACCCGTAAAGACCGGGGGGAATGGGATGACGTTTAAATTTGACGTTTGACATTAACGGAACACAGATTTTTTCACTAGATAATAGGGATGAACTTAGCTAAAAACAAATTAGTAATATAATTTCCTAAAAAAACCACAACATATCGTTAATCAGCAGGTGAATTCACAATTATCCCCCATTAACGAGGAATTCCCAGTAAGCGCGAGTCATAAGCTCGCGTTGATTACGTCTCTGTCCTTTATACTCACCGCCCGTTGCTACTACCGATTAAATGATTTAGTGAGGTCTTCGGAGCGATACGCGGTGGCGGGATCGCGGGCGTTAGTGTTGCTGGGAAGTTAACCATACTTGATCATTTAGAGGAAGTAAAAGTCGTAACAAGGTTTCCGTAGGGGAACCTGCGGAAGGATCATTAAAGTTCCTTACGCGAGACGTGCCCAGTGCACGGTCCGAGCATGATCACAATAACGTAAACACAATCCATCCAGGGATTGTGTTCGAGACGACCCAAAAATCGTACCCGAAATACAAGTGGAGTGGTCACTTAACCAACGACAAACATTCTAATATATTGTTTACAGACATTTTTACTATTGTGGTTGATAATTATCCTAGAACTTCTAAGATTGTTTCTCGGTATGTATCAAACACATTTTGAATATCCTTCTGTAAGTGCATGCATTAAACCACGAAATAGAACCTACACTTCGAATGCTTCAACCTTGGCATTACTTACGATCACCACAAATGATATTCATCATTCTATTTTTTATAGAAACAAAATAAAGATTGATCGTTTGTTTCAATCACTATTATTTACGATTAGTTTCCGAAACTTACTAATCGTAAACCGAAAACTACTACCCAAAGGTAGGGTTGGGATTTGGAAACCGTAACAATATACTCTTTGCCTTATGCATGCACTCACACCATACACAAGGTCACAACAGCTGATACTGACGAAATATCAAAACATCTTCAAAAGTTTCATCTAAGATTTTGTTGTCAATAAGAAAGGCAAATTATTTGATTGAAACTTCGAGTATTTATTGGATTAATTTTTCATTTTTATTAAAATAAGCTGATAAAACTATAGAACATGTCAATCTGCGTGTAACCTATTTTTCATTGTATGTAGGTACATAACCACAGAAAACTAACATAACCTACAAAAACTACCTACATTCTTTGAAAGTATTTGCTTGTTTACAAATAAAAGATAAACAATCATAAATAGCTACTTTATTGCATATCACATCACCAATCCACCACTATCTCCAAATTCATTGTGAACATTTTCAGTAATCTGATAGAACATTTTTTTCCTTGGTGGTAACACATTGTAAATCACAGATGGAACATTCCAGAGGAAAAATAAATGCTTACATCATTTTACTTTTGTTAGTTTAGTAAGTATACAATCAATAAAAGAACACATTCAACAGCAAAAATGAGATAGAATTAAAATTATGCAATAAACAAATCGGAGTTAAGTCTTCGCCTCCCAGGGAATCCGTTATTTCTTTCCTCCAGGAGGCTGTAGTGGCTGGCCACGTTCTTTTCCTCGAAGTTTTATTCCAATTGCCCTTTCTATCTTACCAAGAACAATGTTGTTTGGAATGCCACGACCGGCCTCATAGTCATTGACAATTTGAGGTTTCTCGCAGATCTTTGTTGCCAAATCCTTTTGACTCATGCCTTTCGACTGTCTTCCTTGCATTATAAGTTTTCCCAGGTCAAGAGGTACTTTTTCATGACGCAATTCTTCAGTCTCTCTGTCGAGTTTAGCCGTATTTTTAGTAGTAACGTGTTGTTTATTAGTTCCAGCTCCATATTTTTGTTGAGTTTCAACTGGTAGGCCTTGACGGCGTGCCGCATTTACGGCTTGTTCAGTCTTCAAAGCCGAAGCTTTTGGTGGTTTCTTACGAAGAATCGTGACCGTATCCCAGTCAGACATTTTTGCGCAGCTGATATCACTGGTTTCACAAAGAAATGATTAGGTATACGAAAATTTATCTGCGTTTTCGTGTCTGCCGTGGTGTTCTCTCTATGGCAGCTAATTCAATGACTAGAGATGGGCACCGATAGTTTCCGAGCAAACGATAAATGATATAATACCGGTTTCTTCTCATAGAAAATTTACTAACCAACATTTTATCACGCTTCTGTGTGAACATTATCAGGAAATTTCAGAAACAATCAATTATTGGCCAAATTAGTGTCAAAAAGTTATTTTGATTCAATTTTCATGAACTGAAATGTAGCTTTGCTCACAGACGTACATTCTGTGGCTTTGCTTATCTGCGCCCACGTCTCTTCAAGTTGACTAGCTATTTGACATTGACATAAAACAAGCTTTGTTATTGTTTTACGGTTTTATTTTTTCAAAATAAAAAGACAACAGTGCAATTCGTAATTCTCTTTACATTATTAAGTACTGAACATTTTTATTGTAAATAAGGTAAACAGCATGGCTGAAGTAAAGAACGAATCTGAAGAAGAGGAATTTTTAGTTTACGCAGAATTTGAAGACACCGTAAACATTGAAAAATATCGAACTGTTCATATACTGGGTGTTGATGGAAAGAATCCTATCATGCAAATGGACGACACGTTTTTCACAGGTATACCTACAATATAAAACCTTTTTTGAAATCACAAACTATGGCACTTATTCAGAGGTTATGATAATGTAAAAACTTTATATAAATTCAAACAGGTAAATTTGACAACGCACTAGGAACGTTTATGTTTTTCGAAGAAGATCCAGACCCGAAATCGGAAGACTCTTTATTTGATAAATTACCTGAGAAAAATCTGAAATATGTTTGTAAGACAGGAAAATTATTGACCATGGAACATGCTTATGTTACTCCTAAAGAAGGTAAACACACAAAGCTTCAATATTTATTCATTTATTATATCTTTACATCTCTGTAATAATGCAACATAGCTGGTCAGCACTGACAATGCTCATTTTAGTATCACCTTGACTCGCTATACCTCGTTTGCTTGACTCACTATGCTCACGGATTGGCCCCGCATAGCTGTCAGCGCTGACCACCTAACAAATTCAGGGAAACATTGTATAATGCTAACTTTTATTTCAGGCCATGATCTCCAAAACATGAAACTAGAAGTAGAAGATAATATAGAACCAATAAATTTCAAAACATTACAAGAAGCTATTGAAAAGTTTAAGAATCACTTCGAAGAAGAATCTAAAACAGAAGTCATAGATTAATTATGGTGAGAAAATCTGTGTTACATATTGGAATTTGAATTATAAACTTAGATCATCATATCACAATTAGTTTTTTTTATAATGTTCCTCGGTAACAACGGTATTGTAGGAAGCCACATTAATCGAGACTGTATTCTATCTCTTTTATACAAATCCTTCCAATAGTTTATTTTTAAAGACTTACAAATATATTAACATACATCCATAGATCCTCATTAACTTTCACACTTGTGATATTAGTAGGATTTGAAGATGAAGACAAAAGGTACTTAGACATGGGGTCAAATATTGTTTGACTTTTAAATTGTATGTTATAGTATATTACAACAGAGGTTTAATGGTGCTGGTGATTTGTTTCTGGAAAATGAATCTTATTCAACCTTAGGGTATAACAGGTGTCATGTCATATTTTTTAGATTAGAAAATGATAATTTACAACATGCATTCAATAGAAATGTTATTATGAGAATATAAAGTAGTACTCACACATTGTTTTAATGGAACAAAACAATCAATCACTTATCTTTTAATTGCATAAAACCAAGTCAAAAAAGTTTGTCTTATCAGATGCACTACAACATGCACATACAACACTTAAACAATATTTTTTATAATACTCAATGGCTACTGAATATTTTTACCTAGAAAGTAGGTACAAAACTACAACAGAAAGTCCCCTTTCACCTAAATATTTTTATTAATGTAGCAACACTAACGCGGGGAATACCTTGGGTACATTCCCTGCTAACATAGGTAGGACGCCGATGAACGGTATAATTAGTTCATTCGTTCATAATACTTTGTGTCGTGCTCACTGTTTATTGGTTGGACGAGTTCATCAGTACACTACATAGTATTAATATTGTACATTATAGCCATTATAGCACTGAGTTGGTTCTTTGCTGGTGTATCTATTGTTGTGTCGAAGTTTTATACAAGTATAATATTCAAGCCCTGTATAACCCTTTTCCCTGCAGGAGGTTAGTAAAAATTAGCGGAATTAAAACATACTATGAAATATTCAATAAAATATCTTCGGTGACTTCCTTTCAACTTATTTTAACTTCATAGTTTATACCTACTTTTTCCGGTATACAGTTAGGTAAATAACTAAGTATGTACACGATGTAAGCGACATTGCGAGCGCAGCGTACCAATGTATGCTAGGTATCTATAAATAATAATGTTATGTTTATGCCATGGCAATGAGTGCGCAACCGGTCTCGGCTGTCATGTTACGCCACAAACACTGGTTTTGGTCCATTATTTCTGCGATTTAGATAGTTTGCAAATTCATATTTTCATTACAAAAAAATATATAATTTTATTTGTTTCAGCAACATGACAAACACAAACAGGCGGCCTCAAAAGAAACCTACAAAAACGTTGGAGAAAATATTTCAAGAGATAAATAGAAGACATGTACGGATTAAAAGAAAAGAGAAGAAAAATAATAACTCTATACTTTATAAAGTGCTGCAAGAACTTTTGAAGATAATGCGTAAATGTGACAGCTTGTTTGATAGCATGAAACCAAGATTAGAATATTTGGGCAGCTACTTTGACGGGTTACGCGTAGGACAACCAACAGAGTACGACATAAATGTTATTTTGACTTTTCACATCAATTATAATAGAATCGAATTAGATGCTAATTGTACTGAAAATGGCTACACAAGTATAATAATGCCAGAAGAATTCCGTAGATTGTCAAAAACTCCCGCAACAGCCGAAAAAGGTTTCAAGAAAACTGAATTTTGGTGTGATCGTTCCTACCATCTTTTGGTCAACAACTTTCGTTCATGGATGCAAAGTGTTGTAGATGCGGCCCTTAATAAACTACCCTTAGAAGACGGTAAGCGGATATTAAAAGTAGAAGACAAGTACTTTAAAATTGCTTACAAGATGTCTGGGCCTGCTAATACTATTACAATATGTATGAAAGATGATTACGTAATTGATGTCGATTTGGTTCCAACATTATCGTTTAAACTACCTAAGCAGCCTTCTAATACAAAAATAGATTTTGATAAAGTAAAACAGACTAAAATTTCCTACTATTTTGCAGTACCAAAGCCAAGTAACAATGATCTAAGTTGGCGATTAGCTTTTCCATATCAAGAACGATATTACACGGATAATACAAATAACTTAAAAAGTGCATTAAAACTTTTGAAACTGTTTCGTGATATTCAGGGGTTTAATAAATTAGCTAGTTATTTTATTAAAACTTTGTTTTTGTGGGAAATTGTTGAAAATGATCGGGACTTTTGGAAAATAAATTCTTTAAACTTCTTAGTACTCCATATGCTGAAAAAGATGCGAGACAGTTTGGCAATTGCAACAATTAAAAATTTTTGGTGTCCTGAACATAATCTTCTTGAAAAAATTAAACGTGAAACCTGTGAAAACTGGAGTAATCGCATATCTAATATAGTAAATGATATAGAACGAAATAAGGTACATAATCCATATATTGTGTTAAAATACTTCACAAAAATGACGATACCATGCACCTAAACACGAAATATTTGTTGATGTATCCAAGTAGGTGCACAGTACACATACAAAATAATCTATGAATGTAAATAAACATAATTTAAGTTAGGGTGTAAAAGTAAATATAAATTATTATAATCGTTAATCTTGTTTGTCATTATAAAATTACTATGACTAAATGACAAGTGACTATCCCTTATTGACAACGGTGAGGACGGACTGTAAGTTCTCTTGATTACTGTTTTGAATAATTAGTGGGCGTAATGTGACGTGTTCGTTTTAAGTCCATTGAGGAGGGAATGAATCGCACGTTGAAAATAGGGGCCATGTCACCATGATCATCTTTTTTTGGTAACAATTATAAAATCCCTTAATAAGTGTGAAAATACTATAATATCACACCTTGCCTATATTACTAAACTGGAATTTTGAAATGTACAAATATGTAATGAAACACCCACTTTTCATCAATTAGGAAAAGATGCTATATAGACGTGAGTCTGTTGCCATAAACTGATTCAGTACTACTAATGAGATCTTTCGAAAACCCAGATGACACTTTTCGACCCGGGCATTGATCCTGAGATCTTTTGGCACGGAAACCTATTGGATTAAATATTTTTTTTAAATTAAGTGCTGTCAAGAGCTAAAGAATTCAAGGTAGGGCTTATTTTTGTCAAAATAACAGTACTCGTTGTAATCTTCAAAATTGATGACAATTATCTGCACTGAGAGGATACTGATCGTAAACCCCCCGTGATACCTATTTGAACCATCTCCCGTCTCCGTATCTCCTTGATTTTGATTTTCGTTTACTTTTTTCTGGTACAGTGACCAAAGCAATTTGTCAAAAGTAAGAGTTAAAAAAAACGATAACTAAGTAAGATTCAAAATAATTATTGCGATAAGCGATTAATTTCGAAGATACTTTTTTGCAGCTGGTAGTATAATTAAATAATATTTTTCGTTACTGGCAATGATGGCTTACGCCCCTCCTCAATCAAAGCCGCCATTTTATTTGTGTTGTATCGCCATTTCGTTCCTTTCGTGAGATGGAGAATTGGACAAGAAAGTGAGACAGAAATAAAATATTCTGAATCCTTTCCTAATAATTGTGCAATCTAACGTTGTTATAAGTAATATAGGCACGAAAATTTTATGCAGGTTAGCAATTTTGGACTCTTTAGAATACTTCCCATCACATTTTTTTTCATATTCGTGACCGCGTCTCACCTCTTGTTCGAGTACAATGGCGTCCGTTTACTCGTAGCGCGTATGGATATTCCGTCATCCTTTTCTTGCATATATCGACTATTCAGGAGACACTGCCTTTCTAACGAATGATCTTTTTACGAGTAGAGTAGACTGATAAGAAATATTCCCCGTTACCTTCGCACTTTGTGTTTGAGTTTCGCTTTCGCGTACAATAAAATTAGCCGCGCTTTTGTCGGACGCTTAAAAATGTTTTTATATATAATTTTAGAGCGTATTTTATGTTATAACAGACAGACGAGATGTACAGCTGATTGAAATTGTGTGATGAAATAATTGATGTGTCGATATGTTCACTACGAACACCGTACAAACCGGCACGGTGCCGACGCTGCAGTATCAAGAGCATCCAACCCAAAAGTCACAAGGAAAAAACATTGAGAACGTTCAACAAAAGAATGCTCAACAGACTCAACAAACTCAGCAGCAACAACAACAGGTATAATGTATTCTGTACATAATATACCGTGTTAACTTACTATTAACTATTCATGTTAAACTTACTCATAATAATTGACACAACAATAACTGAAACATTCTAACTAATTACCACTATAACCAAATATTTGAAATACCTAATAGAGTTTATTCCTATGATAATCAATATTGCATTGTCTTATGCTTATACTGACCTGACTATTGTATAAATCTGAATTTAGTGATATAATTTTACAAGTAAATAAAATAATGTACCTATTTACATTACAATTAAATAAGATTGTATAGCTTTGGTTGTGGAAATGGATTAACAATAATGCTTGCCTGGAAGCTTACAATAATGCTAATGACTTTTTGTGACTTATACTTATGTATTTTCCATTACAGGAGTTTCCAACATTCTGTTATACTACAAATGTCAACATGATTGGCAAATTAGGAACTGGTACCACAAGTGGGGCTGGTAACGTAACCAGTGGAGTAAATATAACTCAACTTACTACAAGTGACGATAAGACTTGTTACATAGCCCAACCATTCTCATACAATTATGCATTAGTTAATCAAATGCAAATAGCTCCTAATGGAATCCAGAATACAATATCAAATATTAGTTTTAAGTGTGATGTCTGTGGTCTTATGTTTGGTCATCTAACTCTTCTGAATGCTCATAAACGGATACATGCTCAGGATACAGGTAATTACAATACATAACAACAGCTTTTAAATATACCAATTGCAGTGGTGCACAGTCCATATATGCAGTATAAATCTTGAATAACAATTAAAATTATGTTTAGAATAATAATTAGTATCCTATAGTCAAAGTATTTGTGTTGCATTTATTGACATATTATTTATTAGGGTTGTAAAATAGATACAACTTAGCTGCTTACATGAACTGCACATCACCATATCACATAATACATAAAGTTTTTCAATGAGATGATGATAACTTTGTTTGTTCACTTTCAGAGAGCAATATAACAGTTGTAGCGACTGGTGTAAGTACTGGAAATGATGTTGCAATGCCACCACACATTCAAATCCTCTCCTCTGATCCCAATGAGCAGCAGCAACACCATGTGCCAATTCAAGACAGTTAGTAGGCAGTCTTTTATTTTATTATGCCTTGCTTTACTTTGTTACTTCTCTATTTATTACCTTCATACCTCTTTTTAACCTGGCTATGTAAAAAATAAAAAATGTGTTTTTTTATGTATAAAATTCTAGGCCCTTATTACCTTTGCACCGCTTTTGTAATTTATTTAATTTTATTATGTGTATGAATTAAACCTTAAATAAAATTGTAGTGTAATGGAGTACCTAGTAAATGCAAATTAGTCTTATAAAATTAATAAACTAATGAAAAGCATAATAGATAACTAAACTCAATAATAATATGTTTAAATAAATTATATTTTAATTAGAAGAATGGATGATTAATGATTATATAATGAGCTTTAGATTGTATAAGCTACCTTACCTGCATGTTTGCACTTTTACTATAGAAAAGATGTCTGTATTTTTATTAATGTATTAATAATTGTTTCAGCTAAACCAGTCATAATAGAAAAAGTACAGAAATGTATTACTTGTGGTGGTCCTATACCCAATAATCCTAAAAGAAAGGGACCTAAACTAATACGCTGTGAAAATTGTATTGCACAAGATTCTGTGGATCAAAGGAATAATCAATGTGAGTATAGTATAACACTATTGTATATAGGACCTGTTTCAGAACCTCTAGTTAAATTTTGGTTTGACTAACCAGCAGATTTTATTTTTCATTCATATAAAATTATCCAAAATAAGTCAGTTAACAATACTGAAATTAAACTTGAAAATTGTTCAATGTACTGTTCTATAAATAATAAAAAATAAGTAGAAAGCTTATCTCTGTTTAACTGACATTATATTTTATTAAGACTATTAGAAATAATCCACCAAGAAGCCGTTATTATTTTTTATAATAACCATCAATATTTTAGTAATTACGAATATTTAAATAAATACTATAAAATAGATACCATTTTTATTTCATCTTACAACATTAAGTTTAAAAAATAAAACAATGGTGTGCTAATTAATTTTATTTATGTTTATCAGTGAATGCAACGCAAATATTTGTGGCAGCAGAAGACAATGTGAAATTTGAAGTGAGCAATGTTAGTACAGTGCAGACATCTGCTGACCCTCTGTCAACCACACAGAGCAATCAACAAACGCAACAACAACAGAAACCTTGTGAGTATATTATTTACTGCTGGAACTTACCTAGCAAATACTGTTAACTGCTTGGAAGAATCATGCCTGTCTCCCATTGGGGTAGGCAGAGACAATTGAATGCCAAAAGACATGATTTTGGCATAATACCACCTTTGATTCGTTTAGATGTATATTGATATCTGTCTTCAAGCACACTCATATGGTTCTTAAAATTTGGTCCTTCAATTTTATATATAGCCTATTTGGTTTTAGAAGAATATCAATGAAAAGCTTGACAAAGGGGAAACAGATCTAAATTAAATTTGGGCTTAAAATAGATTAAATACTTATTCAGTTAACATATAATAATAATAAACCTTTTCTTCCAGTACCTGGACATCATCCTGTCAAGAGGAGAAACCTAGCATCAGTAACAAAATGTCAGAACTGCAATGGTTCAGGCATTATTTTCGTAGGCGGCAATAAGAATAAATTAAGTAATGCTAATTTGGATAAGCCATTCCACTGTAATATTTGTGGAGGATCTTTTGCCAGATATTCCTCATTATGGTCACATAAGAAATTGCATTCTGGTGAAAAGAATTTCAAATGTGGGATCTGTGGAATTGCATTTGCTAAGGCTGTTTATCTTAAGAATCATTCAAGAATACACACTGGAGAAAAACCATACAGGTATGTAATACCTTTATATTATGTAAGTACATAAAATATTGGTGTTTGTCAAGTAGTTGTGAAAAATAATTAATTAATTTCAGATGTAATACTTGCGGAATGCAGTTTTCACAATCACCACACTTGAAAAATCATGAAAGAACTCATTCAGGAGAGAAACCATATGTTTGTGAAGTAAGTGCAAATGAATACTATTCCAGTATAAGTTTTATTAATATACAATTACCCCCCTTCCCCAATCTCCTCAACTTCTGAATCCCCAACATTCCTAAAATACCTAATCCCCAAAAGGCCGGTAACGCACTTGTAACGCCTCTGGTATGTCGGGTGTCCATGGGCGACACCGATTGCTATAGATAATCTGTGTCCTAGTTTACCAGCAAATCCCATAAAAAAAAATACGTGGTTGATACAATTACTGTTGTGATGTTGGCATGAATTAAAAAACATGTATATATAAGTAGATGAAGAGTCAATTAAAATTATCAATTGTTTTAAACTGTTTTTGAAGTAAAT